CCAGATTAACTTTACTGGTAAAGCCTACCCCTTAAGTAAAGTAGAAACAATACCATCAAACACAAACTCAGAAAATATACAAAGAAATATTTTCTCACCTACATATGATGAACCCAGCATACCTAAATACAGATATAGATATTGCAAGAAATGATAACTACAACTATCCCACATCAACATATATAAAACTTATAAAAAAAAATCAATGAATTGAACCTATCAACATGTAAATGACAAAACATAACAAAATGTAGTTTAATCCAGGAACGGATGATAAAACATCTGAAAGACAGTTGATACCTTTCACCATATTAATGGAATAAAAGAGAAAAAAAAAATCACGATTACCTCAACAGATGCAGAAAAAGCTTTTAAACATCACTTCATGGTTTTAAAAAACCTCTCGGCCTTTAAGAAAAGTTTTTCACAGTAAAAAGTCATCTATAAAAAAAGTACCACTAATATTATTTTTAATGGTAAAAGACTGAAAGCAGTCTCCTTAAGATAAGGAACAAATCAAAGATGTCTACTCATCACATCTATTCATCAGTTTTTCTGTAGGCCCTCATTATGCAGTAAAGGAAAAAAGAGATTAGAAAGAAGATATATAAACACTATTACAGTAAAGGAACCACAGAACCTACTCTACATACCTATGAGACTAAATAAATCTAACAGTCATAGAATACATGAAATTTCAATAGAAACAGCTGCATTTCTATAGACTACTAGTGAAAATTTTTAAATTTAAAAAATACTATTTGCAGTAGCATCCAAAAGTACAAAGAAAGGTATAAATTTAACAAAGTGTGTCGTTACTACACTAAAAACTACAGAACATTTTTTTAAAAACTTAAACATGCATAAAGGTATACCATGTTCATGGATTGGAAGCCAGTATAGTTAAAATGCTGATTTTTATCAAATTAACTTATGTAATCAACTCAATTCAATTAAAAAACCAGCTGACTCTCCTTACACAAACTAAAGGATTGATTTCTACACATAAAAATGAAAAGTACATAAATCAGTCACAATGGTCTTGCAAAATAAAAATACTGGAGGTTTTATACTTCCTAATGTAAACATTTACTGTGAAAGAGATAGCAATAAGACAACATCATACTGATTTAAAGCTTGATCAATTAAACAGAATGAAAACTGGAGAAATAAGATTTGTACAAAAATGTGCCAAGATAATCTTTGCAAAACATATAGCAGCTTTATTCATAATGATTAAAAACAAGAAGCAATACAAACTGCTATAAAAAGGGAAATGACTAAGCAAATTTTGGATTACTAAAACAACATAACATCAATCAACAAGGAAAAGGAATGAACTACTGGTACTCATGTAACTTGGACAAACCTGAAAAACAAGCTTTGCAAAAGAAGTCAGACAAAAAGTTACATATAATTCCATGTACATGTAATTCCCAAAGGAACAACAGTCATGTGTGGTTTTGAAAATTATTAACAATTATGTGGAGGAAACCAAGAAGAAATAACAAAGAAATTTTCTAAGATGAGGGAAATATTCTATATATTGATGGATGATGGATCATATAAATTTATGCAGTTGTCAAAATTCTGAACTATAAGTCTGGTGTGGAGGAATATGCATGCCTACTATCCCAGAACTCTTGAGAGGCCTAGGCAGGAAGATTACAAATTCAAGATCAGACCAGACAATTTAGTGAGTCCCTGTCCCGAAAATACAAAGTAAAGAGGCTGGGACTATAGCTCAGGACAAAGGCCCTGGGTTCAACCCCCAGTGCAATCCCATGCAGATACAAACACATACACACACACACACACACACACACGCGCACACACATGCACATACACGAAACATCCTGAACCATAAAGTATGCATGCATACATGAATAAAATGTATATTTTAACTCAAAAAATATCTCTCTATCACAGCTCAGGGATTGAGTACAGAAAATTTAAAGCATAATGCTAAGTCCTGCAAGCAATAGTTATAAGGAAAAAAAAATCACACAAATGAGAAAGCTTTTTAGGCTAAGAAAACAATAGGCTACCAAAGAATAAGCATATACAGATGTAACAGAAAAGTATCACAGTGAACTGGAACAACTAAAGTAATCTGGTACACTTAGAGGAAGAAATTAAAAGAGAAGAGGTATATTCACTACTCTAAAGAAGCTGCATAGGAAGGGACCTGATTATAAAGACCACAGTATTTCCAACTTATGCAAAAAAGTGTATTTCAGCTGTCTGGCACTGAGAAACCATTCAAGAAGTTTTAGTAAGGGGGTGAGAAATTACATGTCTCGTGGAAAGATTACTATAGAAACTATCAAAAAGACCAAAGAAGGCTCAGACTACAGTCAGTCCAATAAAAGGCCCCTGAAGTCTATAAACAACTTCATCTAACACCATTAAAATGCACATTCTTCTCAAATTCATATGGAACACTTTCCAGGTTAGACCATCTTCTGGACAACAGAACACACATTAACAAATATGAAGTAAAAGTAATCATACAGTATGTCCTTTTCGATAACAATAGGATTAAAATTAAAAACAAAAAGCCAACTGGAAAATACCCCATATACTTGGATGTTAAACAACATACTTCTAAGGAAAATGATTCAAATAAGAAATCTCAAGAGAAGTTTATATTGAACTAAATGAAAATAAAAATATAACCTATCAAAACTTGTGTGAAGCAATTAAAGCAGCATTTAGAGGGAAGTTTATAGTATTGAAAACATATATTAGAAATGAACAATTCAAAATCAATAACCTACACTTCCATTATTACAGAAAAAAAGAACAAGTTAAATCAAAAGAAAACAAAAAAAGAAATAACTAAAGCAGAAATCAATGAATTAAAAACAATCAATGGGAAAATATCAAAAGCATTTTATTATTAAAAATATTAATAAAATAAAAAAGTCTCTAATAAAATGGGGACTTGTTCAACAGACATGAAGTTTCCTTTTTGCTAGATGAAAAAGTTCTAGACATCTGTTGTGCAACATTGTGAATATAGTTAACACTACTGAGCTGTACACTTAAAAATGGTAAAGACAGCAATTATACAAAAAGGCAAGCCAGTAGCCAACCTAAGAAAGTAATAAACAATATAAATTACCAATATCTGAAATTAATAGCCAGGCATACACAGTGGCACACACCTACAATCCCAGCACTTGGGAGCATGAGGCAGGAGGATTATGAAAAGCTCAAGACCAGCCTAGACTTAGAGAACCCGTCTCAAAAAAAAAAAAAAAAAGGAAAGAAAGTAAGGAATCTTCATAAGCATTAAGACAATGAAAGAGCACTATGAGCAACTTCATGCCCCCACACACATGACGAACATGATGAAACACTAATTTCTGGGAAAACACACTCTGCTAAACCTCATACAGTAAGACACAGACAATTGGAACAGGACTACATCATAAGAGAAATTTAATAAATGACGTATAAACGCCTTCCAAAACAGAAAGCATCAGAACTAAAGGGGTATGGTGGTGAATTCTAACAAACATTTAAGGAATAAAATATACCAATTCTCCACAATATTGTTTCGAAGATAGAAGCAGAGGGAGTACTTCCTAATTCATCCCATGAAGCCAGCATTACCCTAATGCCAAAACTGGACAGTGGCATTGTAAGAAAATCACAGACCAGTATTTCTCATAAACATAGATGTAAAAATCTTCAAAGTATTATCAAATCAAGCAGGGCATGGTGGTGTAGGCCTGTAGTACCAGCACTCTGGAGGCTGAGGTAGGAGGATCACTGCAAGTTTAAGGCCAGCCTGGGCTACATACCCTGCCTCAAAAACAAAACAAAACAGGGCCAGGGATTTAGCTCAGTGGTTCTGCTGCCTGTGTCCCAAGCACAAGGACCCAAATTCAATTCCCAGTACCAAACAAGACAAAACAATATTATCAAATCAAATTCAACAATGCACAAAAGAATCACATCTGGGATTTATTGTGGTGACACACTGCTGGTTCAGTATTTGAAAATCAATTAAAGTAATTCATCATATCAACAGGGTAAAGAAGAAAGGCTAATGTAATGGGCTAGATAAAAGTTGGTGAGCACATGTATTAAAAGGTAACATTCATTCTATGTTTCAACACATGGGATGGAGTGGAAAACCACACAAAACTACCTTTGTAGTCTTCCACCTCGCAGAGAGATAGGTATCAACAATCACAAATCCTTACTGCAGAAACTCAACTACGGTAAACAGAAGTGGAAAAGTGAAGATGATGAACTACCTATGTTAAAAAAACAGGGACACAGTAAATCTGCCAGGAATATTCTAAGCAGAATAAAGATTATGAAGTTTTTTAAAAAAGTACAGTATATTCACAAAAAGAAGAGATGAGAATCACATTATAGCCACGACTTTAGTGATCAGGTAAAAATAAAATGGAAGGCAAAAAGACATATGTGCCCCCCAAAAGACTTAGTCACAGACTGTGGTATCTAGAATAGAAAAGAGTAAAGGGGCTGATATCCTTTAAAAGTAAGTGATGAATATAAACTGGACACAGAATAGGATGAATTAGAAAAAATTACAGAAGTCAGGGGGCTGAGGATGTAGCTGTGCAGTATTGTGCTTAACTGTTTATGAGGCTCTGGGTTTGAACCCCAGAACAACCAAAAACAAGGTGGGCAGGAATTATCAGGAGTTGCAGAATTTAAAGAAAAAACTCTTGAATACATGATCATCTTCTAATTATAAGATTTCAACTTTCTACTCTTTTAAAAAGAAACCCAGAAGTTAAACAAAATACCTTTAAAAACTAAGCCTTAAAATTCAACACACAAATAATCCTGGTAGGGAAATATATGTTATCCTCAGAAAGTTTCTAAAATGATGTAATACAAAAAACTTAACTTTGTTTTTCACAAGATTTCTTCACTATTTTAATTTCTTCAGTGACTTACGTTATTTACAATCGCTAGCTTTAACGTCAGTATCTTATAAAGGAATTACTTACAGGGACATTAAGTGCATACTGTAGTCCTTGAGGAAGTCTTTCATGTGCCTCCATCTGTTCTTCATCATTTTTCACCGTCTCCTCATGGACCATGAGTTCATCATGTGATATCATGTCCTGCTGTCTCATCTCACTCTCTTGTAACACTTCATCTGCAGCAAGGATCTCCTGGTGAGGCAGACTTCGATCTTGAAGTACTGACTCCTGCAGTTCTCCAGAAACAGTAGACTGGCCAGACACTCCACCCATTACAACCATTGCCCTGGAAGACTGCATTTCGTCTATGCCGCCACATTTAAGAAACAATCCTTCCAGTTTGTCGTCAATGTTCATGCTTAAGTATAACTGCCTAGAAAGACCAAGTTTGGCAACAAAGCATAATAAATTAGTTTTACATGTCTACTTGACATTTTTAAAAATTTCAACTTATGAAAGGAACACATTCAAATAAAAACATTTTATTCATTTAATTCAGAATTTTTAAATTACCAAAAGGCTTCCAAAGGCTAGTAGAATTCAACATAAATTTTCATTTTGATATTAAGAAATAAAACCCTCATCTAGTTCATTACCGAAAAATTAACCTGACATAAAGTATATTTATGGAAATTATTGTAACTTCAGTTAGAAGATTATATCCTTTAATATACTAAGTGTCTTAAAAAATAAAAAGAAAATGTTATCTGACAGAGAACACTATTAGAAAAATCATTAAAGAAAATTTAAAAATAATCATTTATCATATAAAAAGAGCCAAAGTAATAATCAGAGAAATAAACATTCAAACAGTGGTTGCCATATTTCACCAGACTAGTAACAATTCTTTTTTAAAAAATACATCCAATGTTTAGGTAGTAAAAAAAAAAAAAAAAAAAAAAAAAAAAAAAAAAAAGGAGACAGTCATCTACAGATACAGGGAGTACAGAGATTAGGTCAGCTACTTGAAAAGACAATTTGGTAGTGTATTATCAAAAGCCACAAAAATGTACAAATTCTTTAAGCCAGTAATTCTACATTTTAGAATTTATAGGAAAGAAATCAGAAATGTACACAAAAATACTCCACAATGATTATAATGAAAAGCTAAAAACACATTAAATGTTCACCAAAAAGAAAACAGGTTTAAGATATGTTCAGGTCTAACTTTTAAAATGGAACTATACTTGCCAGGCATGGTGGCATATGCCTGTAAACCCAGCACATGGGTTTGCACATGGACTGAGGCAAGAGAATCACAAGTTCAACGCAGCCTGGACTATTTAGTCAGACATTAGCACCAAAAAAAGAGGACTGGCTGTAGCAGTGGTGGGGCACCTATGGCATGTGCTGCGGCGGGCTGCTTGCTATCATGGAAAGCTCTAAAAGGTTTGCAGTCGCTGGACTATACTGACAGCTCCTGGTTCTGCAACACAGTGAATTTAACAAAAATAAGTATACGCTTCAAACATCAAGGGAGTTTTACTATATACAAATTGTACCCCAAATTTAAAAAATAAAATCAGAGCAGTGGGTACCCCGTGCTGAGGAGGGGATGCTGTTTCTAAGAGTCTGGCTGCAGTGGTGTTTTCACTCAAGATCTACACCTATAAGACCCGCACTTGCAATAAAAAAGCTTGTTGAAACTGAAAGCAATTCAGTCATAAAAGTTTTATTAAAAAATATTTAAAGATTTGGAAAAATATTTCAATATGCTACAGGGAATGGATCTATTATGTATTTCTGTATGTGTGTGTGACTGTACATTTTAGGGTTAGCTGAAAGGTTAACAGCATTAAAAGTACCACTTCACAGTGGTACCTTTTTTTCTTGTTTGTATTTATCTGTAATTTCAAAACTTTCCATATTAAATTTTATTTTAGAAAATTTTAAGCATAAAAAGTAGTACTGTCATAACTAAAATATACTTACACAGGGTTAAATAAATTTAATTGGTTATAAGTAATTAAGAACTAGATACTATAAAAATTAGCTTCCTTTGTTCATTATTACAGAAAAATACTTTTTCCAGAATATTTAAGAGGGCAGACTGCCCTCTTTTCCCACTTTGTTATTATTAGTACACATTTGAGATACATCATGAATACACTCACCTATGAGAATTGCTAACCCTTTGTATTTCCTCTTCCCCCTGCCCACTGGGAAAAGACCTATCTCCCTGTTTCCTATATCTGGCTTTAATCTTGCTCTTTGAGTTACTTATACTTTTGGTTTCTCATATAGACATGTGATTCAGTCTGCTATCTAACTTTGGTTGTTGTAAGTTCATATTCCACTTGTTAGTTACTGCGATAACTAACAATAATCACAAAACTACAGAAACTTCATCTCAAAGAGATCAAAGTGTTGCTACACAGATGTTCTTTAAAAACTACTTTTATTATCAGATCATGTAAAATAAATGTAATATTCACCATCCAACATAAAGGACTTACACAATGAATAAATACACTGATTATATTTTAGCTTAACTACCTTTTTCCCAAACACGTAAAGATCATTTCCTTGATCATGACTTTCAGAGATCAATTAAATTCCAATCACTTCTGAAATCAAAATATTCTTTTCTTTACCTAGACTATTAAAGAAGTACACCTTATTTAAAAGATCAGTTTAAAAAATGTTACAAAAATGAGAGTAAACAAAAATGTAAGTCATACCTGCTTTTCTTGCCTTCCCTTTCACCAACTAGTGTCAGTCTAGACTACATGCAGGACAAGGAGAAAGCATCTGATCTTACTTTATAAAATCTTCAGGTACCAAACCTGACATCTTAAAAACCAAAGATTTTAAACATATAATCAACCAACTGTTCTCTTTAAAAATTCCATTTTATACATTTCTTTTTTTGGGTACTGGAGATCGAACTCAGGACCTTGTGCTTGCGAGGCAGGCGGTGGAACCACTGAGCTAAATCCCTGGCCCCCATTTTATACATTTCTTAAAGAAGTACTGACTAAGTGGATTTCTTTTAAGGCTAAAATGTCACTCTGGCCAATACTTTGACGATCCTTGCAAATTAATTATACACTTTCCTAAACTATTGACTGTTTTCTTAAAGAGTGTGGAAGCCCCTAACTTACCCATATACAGAGGCACCCTTCACCAAGAGTCTTTGTTGCAGCTGCAGTGGCTACTGTCACATACACCATTACCCATGCCTTTTAAAGTTTTGAGCATTTAGAATACAGGAAATGTAAGAGAACAAGTTACTAAAAGAAAAACCAAATTAGGGAAACTATTAGTTTTTGTTTTTAAAAGTCAAAACTAGAGATGATTTTTTGACCCAACCTAAGTTCTACATTTCCCTACCACGGGAGACCTTAACTCCAAGGTTTTTTGATTATGTACTTCATCAATTTTTAAGTTTGGAGTAACCTAATATATGCAAATTATTTAAGACAATATCTTTCTGTAATACTGTACCAGCATTTTGCACACACATATATATCAAAACAAAAGTACAATATGATTTTTTAGTAACCTTTTTTTTGGTTTCTTCAGACAGGGTCTCACTATGTAGTTGAGACTGACCTGGAACTCACTATGTAGCCCAGGCTGGTCTCGAACTCACAGCGATCTTCCTGCCTCAGCCTTCCAGGTGCTGGGATTACATGCGTGCGCCACCACACCTGGCAGTAACGTATTTCTAATCAAGCCAAAATAATAAGTACTAAGGAAGTAAAAGTATTTTGGGGATAGAGAGAACATTTGGGGGGGAAAAAGGCATAAAGTGCCAGTGTGAAGGACTTGGTACAGAAAAACAGCACACCTCAATGGAGGTAGTAAATCAACAAGGAAATATAAAAATTGGAAGTGGAAAACAAATCTGACATTTTTTCTAATAAATTTTCCTTAAAATAGACCATACACACAAAAAAGGGCTCTTTCTTCCTTTTTATCCATAGTTCCTTATTCCTATGGCCCTAAATTGAGTCATATATTTGAAATTAAATTGGATAACCCAGAAATGGTGTTTTTAAGACAATCTCGCAGAAATGTTACAAAATACATTAGCATAGAGCTCTATCAAGGAGCACTGCTCAGAGTTTTAAAATAAGCCTTGGAAATACTTAGCAAAAATAAAATTGCACATACCCCTGACCTATCACCATCTGGGACCGGTACTTACACAATCCTACAGGCTTATCCACAGAAGTCCACCAGAGTCAGGCTATCCATAAAGCTCCCAGAGATACATGTACAAAGCAGCCCTTTGAGAGCAAAAACTAGAAAAAAAAGTAATATCCACTGGTAGGAAACTTACATTAACTATGACTCAAGGGCACAATGGAATACATGCAGTCATTAAAAAGAATGTGTGGATTCTACAAGGTACAGCAAATGAAAAAAAATCAAGGAAAATTACCTAAATAGGAAAACCCTTTCCACACTTTAGTAACAAGATAAAAAAAAAAAAAAAAAAAAAAAAAAAAAAAAAAAAAAAAAAAAAAACTCCAATAATTATTCTGGAGAGAACTGTTTTCTAGACAAAAACTTACTTGTAGAATTTGGGATGATATAAAAAGGATTTATAGAGGAAAGACTGATTTTAACTTTTTATTTTATTCCTTTTTCAAACTTTGTACCAGTATCTTTCTTCATTTTGCTTCTTCCCTCCAACCCTCAGCACTGGGCACCGAACCAGGGCCTCATGGGTGCCAGGCAAATGCTCACCACTGAGCTGCATCCCCAACCCTACTGTGTGGTAGCGCACACCTATAATCCCACCCAGTATTTGTGAGGTTGAGTCAGGAGGACTCCCATGAGTTTGAGGCCAGCCTGGGCTATACAGTGAGTTCAAGCTGAACTACAAAATAAGATCCTATCTTGAAAAATAAAACAAAACAAAAATGTGTTTTAAAGACAAACTAAGCCATACCTACATCACACATCTCAACTTGTTTCCAGAAAGGGTAAATTGGACAGGAAATGAAATGCAGGCCTCAAACAAAAATAAAGAAAACTTTTACAGTTATGGAAAAAGGAAATGGGACAAATGTATTCTAAGAAAAATGATGAATTAAGTAAAGAACTTTTAAAAACTGTCCTTCTTGTACCTCCCTTCTATGCCATCATAGTTTTCATCCTTTCCCTGATAACTAAAGTGATCTCTCAGTCAAAGCTTGTACATACTTTATTGTATATTCAAAAATCCCAATATAGCAAAAGACCCATGCTTAAAAATTAATGCATGCTATTTCCTTTCTCTAATTTAGCATTTCAGGGAGGATCAATGAAGCAAACATACACTGATACAATCAATCCAAATTAATATGTGCAGAGCTGAGTCTCTTCCTGCTAACCCCTCAGAAGTCAACTGCTCTTCGACCCAAACGTGCATGCAAGTAATGGACATTCAGCAGTTAGGCCTATTATACAGATGAGAAGATGAAAGGAATTACCACTTCCTTCAAATGACTGCACTCAAATGAAACACTCCTGGTGTGGTGGGGGGGATGCACGCAACCCTAAACAGTTAGTTCCCAGGAATCGGTCCAACCAGAGAGAGAGTAAAAAAACACCTGGAAATGTTAAAGTCACTGGACTTATTCTTGCCCTACTCTGAAGACACTCCCTAAGCAGTGCTTGGCTCAGTAAAGCAATCCAAACACACTGTAGATGAGTACTCCATCTCACAGCTAACACAGAAGACCTTCTGACACAGGATCCCTTTTTCTCCTTTTGAAGGGACTGGGCCCATTCTACATTTTTCTATTTTCCAATTTCCATCTACTATTTGTATCTCAGTGAATTTCTCTTCAACCATTTTTCATGGGTTTACAGATACCTTCTTAAAAATGACATTGTTTTTAAATTTAATTAATATTTTTTTTAGTACTGGGGATTGAATTTGGGACCTTGTGCTTGCCAGGCAGGCGCAGCGCCACTGAGCTACATCCCTAGCCCTGAGACCTTAATTCTTTCTTCAAACCACTGCCAAGAGAATCTCCCTCCTTTATTTTTCCACTTCTAACTGGGAAAATAACAATCCTAAATTTTAAATAAAAATCCTGATAAATCAAGGAGTAGTGATAAATAAAAACCTATACCAAAGAAAAGAAGGCTTAAGTTTTAAAATGAAAATAGATTAGGGCCAGGGATTTAATTCAGTGGTTCCAGTGCCTGCATCACATGTGCAAGGGCCCGAGTTTGACCCCCGGTACCAAGACAAAAAGAAAATAGATTAGAAGGCTGGTACCATAATTCTCTAAATTTTTTTAAGTACCTGATTCTCCTTTAGAACGTAAATGTATCTGCCACTTACCACCTTTAATTAATGTTCATTCAAGCATCAAACAATTCAAAGATCCTGCTATTGAGCTGGGCATGATGGCACATGCCTGTAACCCTAGTACTCAGGAGACTGAGGCAGGAAGGTTTTAGTTTGAAGCCAGCATGAGCTACATAGCAAGATCAAGGCCACCCTGGACTATATAGCAAGACTATGTTTCAAAAAGAAACAAACAAAAAATAATCCAATTATGCCAAGTGTGGTGGCACATACCTATAATCCTACATACACGGAAGGCCAGGGTGGGAAGATTTCCTGAGTGAAGGTGTTAAAAAATAGTCTAGGGAACACAGCAATATGCTATCTCTAAATAAATAAACATTCTACTTTTCTGTATATTTATTGAACTTGGCAGTAAGATTATTTTCCATTAATTGTCAATGAACAATGTGCCATTTCAACTATGTATAATGCAAAAGAAAGAAAGTACAGTGAGCAAGCTTAGGAACCAAAGCATCACTGTATCTTAAAATAAAAAGAATAAACCCAGCGAGGCCCGGTACACGCATATAACCCCAGCTACTCTAGAGGCTGAGCAGGGAGATTCCAAGTTCGAGGCCAACCTAAGCAATATATCATGAATATATGCCTCAAAACTATTATAGGCTGGCAATGATGGAGCACTTTCTTATGTGTACAAAATCCTGGGTTCAATCCCTAGAGTTATAAAAAAGAAAATAAAATTTTTGTGTAGGTATATTCCATATTCAGAGATCTCTTCAGTTACTCCTCATTATGTCTCTCATTTTGCACCTTATAATGCCTACCTTATGAGGTACCATATGCTTATTTCTAAGGAGCTACAATTTCAAAACATCCTAACAGAAACAGCATTTATAATTATAGGAAGTAGACAAAAAGACCTTGCTGATTAATGTTATCAAGAATAAAAGATCTTTAGTAGTAAACATACTTCAACAGCTGCTAGCACAATTTTTTTTTCTTTGATACTGGGGATCAAATTCAGGTCCTTGTGCTTGCAAGGCAGGCAGTGGAACCACTGAGCTAAATCCCCAGACCCTAGGACAATTATTAATCAGAGAATTTATAGAGTAAGATTCACCATTTTGTACATCACAACAACAACAAAAAACTACAATCATTTGCAAACCACAGAAAATTTTAAAACATTGAGGCTCAAGTCACCAAGCTTTTCTGTGTAACACTGAAGCCCTCCTTTAAAAAAAAAAAATTTAAAAAGCAGATTGTAAGTGCATGCTGCATTCCAAACACTTATCACTAAAATCCTGTAAAACAATGTATCAAAAAAATAGTGATAAAACAGTGGTACTTAGAAATATGAAACATCAAACTGAGCTGGCGTGATAGCACATTCCCATAACCGCAGCTACTCGGGAGAATGAAGCAGAACAGCAAGTTCAAGGCCAGCCTAGACAATTTAGTAAGACCCTGTCTCAAATTAAAACCTCAAAATAAAATGTTAAAAAGGGACAGGGATGTAGCTCAGAAGAAAGCACTTGCTGAGCCTAATCAATACCCAGGGTTCAAGACCCAGTCCGGGGAGAAGAGAAAAGCCAAATGTATACCAACACAAACCGATTAAGAAACAGCTATAATTTATCTTTAACAGGGGAGAAAAGGAAAAGATTTTTTAAAAAAAGTATTCTACATTTTTGTTTTAAGTTACTGTAACCATTACCTTTTATTTCTGAGGTTTTTTTGGGAAGCAGGGTCTCACCATGTAACCCAGGCTGGCCCCAAACTCAAAGCGATCCTCCTGCCTCAGCCTCCTGAGTGTTGGGATTACGTGCATGCACCACCACACCCTGGTGCACCACTACCATTTTGTCAATATCAGTAATTCAAATAATAGGCAAGCTGATTTTATAAGCAAGTTAAACTCTCTATGGTATATAAAAGCAATACCAACAAATCTTCCTAAATTTCCCTTTACAGTTAAAAATATCAACATACTATAAACACACTATGTATACTGTGAACAAAGAGTAAACACCTGTTATTTTTATTATGCGCTATATAGCAACAAAGTCTTGCTCCAGAACGAAAAAGTATTAACTACTTAAATAACATCTCTTGATCCCCTTGGAGAATGATTTAATTTCCCTACTTCGTATTATCTATCTTTTATTTTGCTCTTTATTTTTACTCTGAGTTTCTCACATAAGAGAAACCATGTGATATTTAAGCTTGTGTGTCTGATGTTTTCATTTAACAGTTTGGTCTCAAGGTCTCAAGACCCATTTTCCTACAAATGACTCAAATTTATTTTTCTTTGACAGAAGAGTACTCCATGGTGTACAAATACCACATTTTCTTTATCCACTCGTCTTTAGATGGATATATAGGCTGTTTCCAAGATTTACTATAAATTGTGCTGCTATAAACATGGGTAGGCTTCTGTAATATGATGTCTTTAATTCTTTTGGAAGATGTCTAGAACAGGAATAGCAGGGTCAAACTGAATTTTTAGTTTTAGTGTTATGAGAAAACTCCATCCTAACTTCCAAGGTGACTGTATTAGTTTACATTCCCACCGACAGTATAGATAGGTCCCTTTTGCCTGCCAGCATTTATTATTTGATTTGTTGGTGCTAGCCATTCTTTCTAGGGTAAGGTGGAAGCACAGTGTGTTTTAATTTGCATCTAATAGCCAGATGTTGGACATTTCTTCATGTACTGATTGCTCATTTGTACTTCTGTTGGGAGTATATTCATTTCACTTACCCATTTTTTTCATTGGGTCTTTTATTTTGGGGGATCTAAGTCTTTGAGTTCTTTATATATTCTAGATGGAGGGAGGGAAGAGAGAAAGGATGAAGAAAAGGAATTGGGTTGTGTTATATACATGTACCAATGCAACACAAGGAATGTAAAGATTATATATTGCAAACATATAAAAAGAAAGGAAGAGGATAAAGGAAGGTGGCAGGGGGAGGGAGGGAAGGGAAAGGGAATGAAAAAAGGACTAAGATGTGTTATGCACATGTACCAACTTCCTGCAAGGAATGGAAACATTATATACTACACACGTATTAATAAAGTAAAATAAAGAAAGAAAATTTAAAAGTATCACTTTTTTAAAAAAATGTAAAGTAAATCTGAAACAAACCCAATGTGACAGACAGCTGGCTGTCCTCCCAGAATCTGTTCTCACCTTCTTATCCAATAATAAATTATATGAGATATACAGCTGCCCAGATAAGACTTACTACACAGCTTAGATAAGAATCATTACCCAGCCTCCCTTGCCACTGGGTGTGGGCATGTGCCAACATTATAGCCAACGGAATATGAGTAGAAGTGATATAGAGTACAACTCCCCTTAAAGGAAAGACTGTCCTTCTGTTTCTGTTCCTCCTACTGGCAGACCCAAGGGTAACTACCTTAGACAATAAGAAAGAATCCAAATATTAGGAACAGCATGGGCTGAGGTATACAGCAGCTCAGGGATAGGGTATACATTTAGCACATACAATGCCTTGCGTTCAATTCCTAGCAAGACAAGGAACACTGGATTATAATTATTCCACAGGCTTTGTACAATTCTGGAGCAGATTACATGGGCTTTCAATGAAAAATAAACACATTTCTACCTTTATAAGCTTGTCACAGTAGCCAACTTAACATACCAATATATCAAATACAAATGGTTCCTGAATTATCTACAAGAATCTTCCTTATTTGTAGGTAAATATGAAATATGTAAAAATTTACAAAAACTGTTTTACCATATTTCAAAAATTATATAGCAAGTATAATTAAATTAAATCAAGAGGTCTAATTGTCCAATTTTTCCAGGTATGAAAATAGTTTCCTGGAAATTCTGGGAAAAACATGGATACATGGGTGCTGTAGTTCCCTGGGCAGGTGAAAATATGTATTCCCCTCTTAAGAAGAGCTAGGTAAATAAGAAAACAACATCCTGCTTAGATTTACTTTAGTTATGTACTAAGCTACATATATTTTTCTGCTAACTAAAAATCTAAAATGGTATTTATTAATCTTGTCTTAAAATTATTTTCTCAAGAAAAAATTAGATCAAGAAAAAAAGTTTATTTTAGATATAAAACCAAAACAGTTAACTGTTACACAAATTTAACGTGAAACACTAAAAACCTAGATTTATATTTGAAAAAGCTTACTTAAGATTATGAAAGTATTAAAATTACCTGAGACTAAGGTAAAATGAAGACTTCAAGGAAGGGAAGGCTGTAGAGTTGAAAAAGAAATCATGGTTGAGTTTCTACCTTTCTCAGGCTTCAGAAACCCTCAATACCACCTTAATCATTTATGCCATCCAATTCCTACAACAAAACATATACATACACAACAAACAAAACATATTACTTATGAAGGGAAAAATGCTATATAAATACATTATGTACAAGCTGGTATGTGTATCAAAGTAAGCACTCTTTGTAAACCTAGTAAAACTACATCTGAATGACCAATGCACTGACTTGATTTTTAGGTATAAAATGGGGAAGCACAGTAGTGGTTCTTAGTAACTGATAAATAACCCTGGTCTTGGAAAGAATCATTTGCTTAGACCTAGAGTCTATAGCTTCAGAGAAATGAAATATTGAAAAAATTTCACATGCTATAGGCCTGAAAGGTTAGAAAACAGAAAGCAAAGATTAAGTAACCACTTAAAAACATTTATTCTTATCTGTTCTATAAGGTTTATGAAGTAACAAGAGAAGAAAACAAAATGGCAGGGCTTACAAATAACACAACTAGTACCATACACAATGAGTATATATTCACAATAGAAAAGATTACACTTCTAAAATCATATTACATACAAAATTCTTGCTCAGCAAGGTGACCTCGGTCAGGCAAAGTTGACTAAAAATAATAATAATAATAATAATAATTACACAGAAAATGTTGAGTTTATCCCCAAAAGAAAAACAAAAATAAAGAACTTGGCTGTACATAATGAAACTTTCTGGTAAGCATTTCTGGGATCAGTATCAATTTAGTATGCATTGCTTCCCAAGATACATGAATGATTCTGTCATTTTATATCAGTTTACAATGGTGCAAAGGCAAGAAAAACTTTATCCCACCTAGAATAAATCCATTAATAATCTCATCTATGAACTTCAAAAAGCATTATATTAACTCATTTAAAAAATATTTCAATGACAGCCGGGTGTGGTGGCACACACCTGTAATCTCAGCACTCGGGAGGCTGAGGCAGGAGGATCGCTGTGAGTTCGAGACCAGCCTGGGCTACATAGTGAGTTCCAGGTCAGTCTCAACTACATAGTGAGACACTGTCTCAAAAAACAAAAAACAAAACAAAAAAATGTACTGAAAAGGTTCAGCAGCAGATTCAAAATTTCTTCTAATCTCAGTGACCTTAAAGACACATGAGCAGTAAGCAAACCGGGTGTGTGGCGCACACCTGTAATCCCATAACTCAGGAGGCTGAGGCAGGAGGATCACAGTGAGTTCGAGACCAGCCTGGGCTACATAGTGAGTTCCAGGTCAGTCTCAAAAAACCAAAAATAAAAAAACAAATAAAAATAAACAACATGACAAAAATTTCCCAAATTTTGCCTTTAAAAAAAAAATAAATAAATAAGTACAAATCCAAAAAGGTCAATGAACTTCAAGAATAAACACAGAAAAATTTATTCTTGTACACAATATAGTCAAATATTTGAAAGAAAACAAAGTAGAAAAATTTTCAAATAAAAGAAAAATGACTCATAGTGTTCATGAAACCATCAATAAGATTGGTGGCTATTTTCCAATCAGAAATAGAGAAAAGAGAGAAGACTGTGTAATCACAAGCTCAAAGTATTTAAAGAAAGGTGTCAACCAAACAAACAGGAAAAAAGAAAGATACAATATTCCCAGATAAAGACTGAGAATGTTTTGCTAGGGTAAATACTATGGTATTTAACTCATGAAATACTGAAGGAAGTCCATTAAGCTGAAAAGAGGACACTAGATTCAAGTACACAGAAGAAATGAAGAGCTCTCGTTAACGGTTAAGCACAGACTGTTACAATTCAAAATGTACGGCTCTTGAGCAGGGGATTTAGCTCAGTGGTTCTGCTGCCTGCCTCTCAAGCACGAGGACCTGAGTTCGATCCCCAGTACCAAAAAAAAATCTTCAAAATATACGGCTCAGTGATGCCAAACCTGCCTGGCAAGTACAAGGTCCTGAGTTCCATCCCCAGTACTGGGGGAAAAAAATTCAAAATGCAATCCCAACAACCATTACAAAGAAAGTACAAAAAAAAGAAAAAAAAGGAAGTAATTAAAATGGCACACTAAAAAAATACTTAACCTAAAAGCAGTTGAGAAGACAGAGCAACAAAAACATAAAGGACATACATAGATGAAACAGAAATAAACGAAATGAATGTAAACCCAATCAAATGCACAGCATGAATGGTCTAAACAGCCTAATGCAGAGGCAGAGACTTTCAGATTATACCAAAAAATAAGATCCGACTATTTGCTGGCAACAAGAAGCCACCCCTACTTTCAAAAAATAAAAAGATGAGTGAAAAATAATATACAAACAGTAATGACAAGAGAGCTGGAGTGGCCATATTAATATCAGACAAGACAAACTTTAGGATAATTATTCTAATAATAAAATAAAAATAATAAAATAAAATAAAATAATAAAAAGAATGTATTTCATTATGATACTTAAGAGTCAAACAACAGATGAATATATGTGTGTGTATGTGTGTGTGTGTGTTCTTTTAAAAAGAGAACCCCCAAAACAGTGAATACCATGAGTAAAAGGAATTATAGTTGGAGATTTAATCTAAATAACCGATAGAACAATTAGACATAAAATTAACAAAGTTATAGAAGATGTGCATCGTACTATCACAGTGGTGGTAAACCTACGGCATGCATGCTGCAGTGGGCTGTTCTTATCATTGAAAGCTCAGGTTCTCCGTCAGTGGACTAGACTCATTTTGGATATACTGAAAACTTCACCAAACAAAAGAATAGACATTGATTCCAAACACACATGGAACATCCTCCAGCACAGACCACAACACTAAGCTTCAATAAATGTAAAAGCATGTAAGTCCTACAAAGTATGTTCTTCAATCATAACAAAATTAATTAGGTATCAACTGAATTTTCTATTATTTTTACAAAGGTTTAAATTTCAATTTATAGTAAATAGTTTGGTACAGGTAATAAATGTAGAAATCCAGCTGTACCTGTTTCCAGATAGCCTTTTCCTCAGTTCATTAAATGAGTGATTCATTTTTCTCTACATTTCTGAAAAGCTACATTTATCATTTTTTGAATTTTGTATTTGAGGATCTGTTTCTACAATCTTTCATTCAACTTTTTCAAGTTATCACAATTCATTAAATCTAAAACTATCAATATGAAGATAGGGAAAAAATGAGAACCAAGATCTTTCAGGTAAAGGGACAAGATGCCAATGATGAATGTAACTGTACTGTATACCTAAAAAGTACCAATAAACTCAATAAAAAAATATGAAGATAAACAACTATTTTATATATCACTAAGAAAAAAATGTCAAATTATGCCAAGTCAGGAATTCATGTCATTCAGAGACGTTATAATGTGAAGAGAAAGTGAGTCCTACATTCAAAAGTTTTTAAAAACTTTACATAGAAATCTCTACCCCTCTCTATCTTACCTAGTAATAAAGGATAAGGTAACTACATTCAACCATTTAAAAACAAAACAAAACACTTCTGCAGGGGAAAAAACACCCACAATAAAAGATAAGCAAAAATTGAATAAAATTAATTTGCCTAACAAATGTCAAGAGGCTGCTTTATTACACAAATATACAAACTGCCCCATCAAAAGGCAAAAACACAAGGACGATTATAATATATATGGCCAATAATAATGGAAAAAATGCTCAAACTCACTCATTAAGAAAAACAAGCAGTTAATCAACAAAGTGACCTGTATAAAAATGTTTTACATTAGCCAGTGTTGTCATAGAGATAGATTTCCACTATGCTAAACTAATGATATTGGGCATTCCTTTTTTACCAAATAGTTAAATATACATACTCTTTGGTCCACCAATTTTTTCCTCAGTAATTTAAACTGCAGATCTATTTTAAAGTATGTGCAAAGATACACCCAAGAATATTTTCTACACCACCATTTATAATGAGTCAGAACCCTCCCACCCAAAAAACTCAAATACCCATAGAGGGGTGGCTAATTAAAATAATTATGGTACAACCAAATACTATAATCTATAAAGAATGAAATGAGAACGAATTAATGCAAAAATGGAAGTTTCTCTTAGGAAAAAAAAAAAAGACTTTGCTGAAAAGTCAGTCCAACATTTGTGTAAAGAAAGTGTAATACAGGCACACACATAAATGCTTGTATAAGTAATACAAAGTGCCTGCTGGGATATACAATGTTAATAATGTTAATAATGTTAATAATGTTAATAATGTTAATAATGAATGGAGCAGGGAAGAGCCTTTTCTACCTGTTATGACATTCTCTACTCCTTCAGTGTGTACTCCCTATATAACAAGCCTAGGTAAAGGTGTGAGAAACACTGATATGACAATTACCAGAAGATATGGAAAAAAGAGGTAAATTCTAAAATATGACCACTAAAACTGCTAGCATTTTCAATCCTCAAGTTTTAAAATTTTCAAAATTTTAAAATTCATGGAGAAACCTTAGAATTTTTATGATCACTAATCATTGACATAATATGTAGCACAGACAGATCTGTAAATACCTTGAAAACTGTTAAATATTTAATTTTCTTTCATGTTGTTTGAAAGAGACAAGCACAAGTGTAACACATGCACAGGCCAATAGAAAAGGAGAGGACCATCTTCCCAGTATGAGTGAAGTGGAACCTAACAGATATGCAGCAAGTACTGTAGTTCACTAAAAAAAGATAAAAGACTTCACCACATACAATTAATAACATGTGTATGCAAATATAGTGATATACTATGTATCTATAAATATGTAAGTGGGCATAACAAGAGCAATGAGTATGTGTGTTCATGGGCAACCATTAAAGCATCTATCAGGGTAAAAACAATGAAGATTAAGTAAAACAATGCTAAGTTACCTCTATAAAATCTGCCAGGCAAATGCCCATCCCGCCAGATCACTTGACTGAATTTCCAAGATGCTGATTCCTCCCCTATGTCCTATAAAAAATACAAAATAAAGTACAAAAGAATCAAGATGGGAGGCTTAAAGTCAGGATAAGTTACAGCTAAATGTGAAAAATCTAATAAAATTCTTTCCTTAGTAGATCCTTTTGGATTAAACACAGTAGCAACTAAGCCTTGTTCCAAATGTAATGACCCACTGGTGAATGCTAAATGATTATCACAAAGATAAGAAATGAATCAGATACAAATTGGACTTTTTCATATTTCTAGTTAAGAATTACGATTTCTCTAAAGTCAGGATGATAGCTATGAATCATTTTTAAATATCTTAAAATAGGAAAAGCACAAATGTATTTCAATCATATGTTGACATTCTCTATTACTCAAATAGTTCTATTTTCTTGAGAAAAGTTCACACTAACATTTCCCTCAGCTACAAAGTCTAAATATACCAAAAATGTAGCTTTTGCTGGGCATAGTGGTACTCACTTGTAACCCCAGTTACTCAAGAGGCTGAGGCAGAAGGATCACAAATTTGAGGCCTGTCTGGGCAATTTAGGGTGATCCTGTCTCAAAATTTAAAAAGTAAATAAAAATAAGGGGAAGGGATCACGCTCAGTGGTAGAGTGCCCCAGGGTCTGAGCCCCAATACATGGATGGGGATGTCAGGGTGTTGTTTTTTGAACATACTAAATATAAGTAAAATTTTTTAATGCAAAAATAGTCTGTTGATGCTTTTTTAAATGGCACGGCATAATTAACCTTTTAGCAGAAACTAATACAGAAAAACACTTAACGCTGGTGTTGCAATGATACTAGAAACATCATTTTCTTCAAGTGAATGGGACATTTTTTCCAAGTCTATTAAAGTTATTGAAAACTTAAAGCTAAATTATAACAACAAAGAATAGGTCAAATACATTTTTTCTTTCAGAAACCATAAAGCATTTTCCATAACAGCCCTAACACATTTTTAGGGCTCAATAAATATATTGTAAATAAATAAGAGCCACAAATACAAAAGTAGAACAACAGAAGTATAAAATCAACCAAGTACATCAACTCAAAATTGTGTTTATATAATTTTATCAAGGGATCACAAACAGTAGTCACTCTGGTAACTTAGAATCTTCTAAAACTTAGCTACTCAGTTTAGTTGCTCAATTAGTTACAAACAATAAAATTATTTTAAAATATTTTATTTCTACTAAGTTCTTACTTGCCTCCAAGTTCTATAGACAAGTATTCAAAAGACTATATGGCATTCTTCTCAATTATGATTTTTGTTTTTGTTTTTTGTCTTTCTGAGCTAGAGTCTCACTATGTTGCTCAGTCTGACCTCAAGCTCTTGCACTCAAGCAATCCTCCTGCCTCAGCCTTTAAATCAGCAGGGGCTACAGGCACATGCCAGTATGTCCAGTTCAAAATGATTTTTAAATATATATTTCTATAAAAATTGAACCAAAAAAACCCAGTAAAAGCCATGACACTAAACTATACTAAAAGTAAAACAAAGCTGTATCTGTTTAACACCGCTATTCACTACTCTACTAGATTGTTATATATTCTCTATGTATTTCTACAGACATCACTACATTCTACTTTTATAGTTGTTAAAATAGCTGTAGAAATTAGTTTGAACAGAAAAAGCACTGTGAAGTCTACGTACAGGGAATAAAACTGCCATAAAATTATACATTTTAATATTATAAGTCTTTTAAAAACTTGATTTGATATAATTGTTCCACAATCAAGACCTTCCCACATATCTCATAATATGGTAACATCTTCAGTCTGAACAAGATATTTTAATATGTTCATACTATGTTAAAAATATTTTCACAAAAAGCATACTCACATTCTTATAGAAATCATTAAATTAAGGCTGTCATTTATCAAAGAATACAACTAGGTATGTTTAAAGAGAAGCAAACAAAAACAGTAAAGCGAGAAGAAAAAGGAAACATGCCACATGCATACATAAAATAACTTAAAGTGTGAATTCGTATCCACATTTTAAAATGTTTTCTTATAACCACCTTTCCCCTACTGTGGAAATCTACAATTTTCCTAAGTGTCTGGAACCCTAATCATTTAGCAATGTCTGGCAATTTCATTTCTCCTTCAAATCTCTATCCTGCTTTCTCCTCTCCTACTCCTCTTCACAAAGAACAAGAAGAGAATCAGTACCCTGCAAACTGAACCCTGCAAGTGTGAAAAGGTACGAAGTTACCTGGACAACTGAAGATCTAAGTAAGCTCTTCCCCTCTCCTACTTAAGCAGTTCATGAATATTCCCTCATGGCAACGCTCTGCACTTTAGACTGTGCTAGCTAAACACTGCCTAATTATAATCATTTGTGCAAAAATAAACAGATTAAGACTAAAAATATACTTTAGGGTAGGGGTCCTCTATCTACAGTCAATCAAGACAGTGTCTTCTAATCGGTCAGTGACAGCAGGGGCTGACAGACACACAATAATAGAAATACAGACTTCAATTCATATGGGATGAACTTTTATATCCATTTGATAATTAAGGCAAGTTTCTACCAACACTAAGTTTAATAACCATGGTATGGAGAGAAAATAAATTAAGTATTTCACCATTCTCTCTATTTTGTTTTTGTAGGTTTTACTGTTGTTTTGTTTTTGTGTGTGTGCTGTAAGAGATAGAACCCTAAACTTTGTACATGCTAGGCAAGTGCTCTGCCCTATACCGCCGACCTACATCCCAGTCCCATTACTCAGTTTTGATAGACTGGCAATATTCCAGTACACTTACTAGCCGATGGTCTACTTATTAATTAAGCTAATTTTTTTCTCGTTAATTCGGTCAACATTTTCAATCACCTAAAATGTATCTACAGCACCCTAAGACTCTTAAGACATGTGTGAAAACACCACAGTCTCTGTCCAAAGACATTCACAATTTAGCAAGGATGGTAAGCACACATACAGTAAATGTTTGTGCTAACAAAATGAGAGCTAAGATTGAAGTTTTAGCAACTCATCATAGAAAAACCAAGCAAAGTACAATTATTATTCCCTTGCTACCTTTATAGAACAGAAGAATGCAAAGAGTGTTTTGAATTTTGCACAGCAGGATCACCAGGACTTAACAAGTATTAATGAATCCAAACAGGCCTATCAGATTGGGTACAGAAGTTGAATATCTTTAATCCAAAATCCAAAATGTTCCAAAATCTAAAAATTTTAGAGTGTCACTTTGACGCTACAAGTAGAAAATGTCACATCATGAAACCCTGCTTCATGTACAAAGTTAGTCAAAATATTATATAAATTACCTTCAGGCTAGGTACACAAAGTGTATATGAAGCATAATGAATTTCATGTTTAGACTTGACTCTCACCCCCAAGGTATCTCATACATACACAAATATTTCAAAATAAATCCAAGACAGGACTGGGGGCAAAGACCTATAATCCCATCACTGGGAGGCTGAGGTGGGAGGACTACCAGGAGTTCCAGGACAACCTGGGCTACATGGTGGGTTCAAGGCCACCTGGAGTTAGACCCTTCTCAAAAAAAAAAAAAAAAAAATCCAAAACTTTTCTCATTCCAAGTATGTTCAGATAAAGGATTCTCAACCTGTACTATTATTATTCACATTTACAATTAAGAAAAAGGGCTATGTAATTTACTAAAAAGATATACTAGTGACAGGACCTACATATCATAGTCTAGAAGGTCCTACACTCATACAATTGTGCTGTCTCCCACTGACCACTTCCATCACCACACCTCATCATTTAGACTGCACCTTCTTCTATTCTCTCTCCTGTGTACTCTATTCCATATCTTGCTAGAATCTCCAGCACGTTCCAGGAAGAGCTACTGCACTGGCTGCTCCTATGTGGAACACTCTTCCTCCAGATATCTGCTTCAAGTGTGTTCAACGATCCTTTTCTCAATGAGATAGTTTCAAGTCACACCATTTACAATTGCAACCTGCTCCTACATGCACTCATCAAATTCTCCTTTATCCTGTTACGCATTCTGTATAGCATTACCACTGCAACGTATTATATAACCTACTTATCTAATGATTATTGGTTTTCTGTTCCAACTATAAGCTCCACAAAGGCAGGAATCTTCGTCAGTTTTGCTCATTAATACATCAACATGGCCACAAACAGTGCCTTGTGCATAGTACACATATGGTAGTACCCACTTAATACCTTGTAATTAAAGCCAGAGTTCGAACCAAAGAGGTCAAGCTCAAGAAGTTCAAGCACAACACATTATCTCTCAATTACCGACCCACAGATAACAAAATGGGAACACAGAGAGAGATACTCAGAAGATAGTCACATCAGCCTATGAAATGCCAGAACCTGATCTCAAAAACAATCTAATGGGATTCATCCCTTCAAAAGGCCTGAAAGTTGTAACAAAAAGCTCCAAGCCAGGTTTAGTGATGCATGCCTGTAATCTCAGTTACTCAAGAGGCTGAGGCAGGACAGTTCCAAATGTGAGGACAGACCAAGCAATGTAACAACAGCCTGTAGATTAGATTAGGGTAGATAGATGTAGAGATAGACAGATAGATAGATAGATAGCTTTATGGAACATTGTATTAAATGTACCATAATGATTCTTAGCAAAAGAACTGTTTAAAGCCAATCCCTGCTACTCAGAAACTGAGGCAGAACATGGAGTCAGGGGCCAGCCTGGGCTCTACTGAGTGTCTAAGAACAGGCTGAACCTTGTATCAAAAAACAAAACGAAACACAAAAGTGTTCCAGGTAAGAGATTTTTAAGAATACAGTTAAAATTACTGTACAGCAGCAAAGCAAAGAAGAGACATTGTGTTCTTTGCTTGTTTGAGGCAAGGGATTAAACAGGATTGTCCTGGGGCACAATGCACGTCATAGAGCTACACCACTAGCTTTGTGCGTCCATTTCATTTATACTAACTGTGCTGAAAGTTCATGGTTATTAGGACTCAAGGAGATATTCTTTATATATTTTGACTTTAAAATGATCATCTGAATAATGGTTTAATGGTA